AACTGAACTAGAACTGAACTAGAACTGAACTAGAACTGAACTAGACTGAACTAGAACTGAACTAGAACTGAACTAGAACTGAACTAGAACTGAACTAGAACTGAACTAGAACTGAACTAGAACTGAACTAGAACCTAACTAGAACCTAACTAGAACTGAACTACAACTGAACTAGGACTGAACTAGAACTGAACTAGAACTGAACTAGAACTGAACTAGAACTGAACTAGAACTGAACTAGAACTGAACTAGAACTGAAATAGAACTGAACTACAACTGAACTAGAACCTAACTACAACTGAACTAGAACTGAACTAGAACTGAACAAGAACTGAACTAGAACTGAACTAGAACTGAACTAGAACCGAACTAGAACTGAACTAGAACTGAACTAGAACTGAACTAGAACTGAACTAGAACTGACTAGAACTGAACTAGAACTGAACTAGAACTGAACTAGAACTGAACTAGAACTGAACTAAACTGAACCTAAACTGAACTAGAACTGAACTAGAACTGAACTAGAACTGAACTAGAACTGAACTAGAACTGAACTAGAACGAACTAGAACCTGAACTAGAACTGAACTAGAACTGAAACTAGAACTGAACTAGAAACTGAACTAGAACTGAACTAGAACTGAACTAGAACTGAACTAGAACTGAACTAGAACTGACTAGAACTGAACTAGAACTGAACTAGAACTGAACTAGAAACTGAACTAGAACTGAACTAGGAACTGAACTAGAACTGACTAGAAACTGAACTAGAACTGAACTAGAACTGAACTAGAACTGAACTAGAACTGAACTAGAACTGAACTAGAACTGAACTAGAACTGAACTAGAACTGAACTAGAACTGAACTAGAACTGAACTAGAACTGAACTAGAACTGAACTAGAACTGAACTAGAACTGAACTAGAACTGAACTAGAACTGAACTACGAACTGAACTAGAACTGAACTAGAACTGAACTAGAACTGACTACTAGAACTGAACTAGAACTGAACTAGAACTGAACTAGAACTGAACTAGAACTGAACTAGAACTGAAATAGAACTGAACTACAACTGAACTAGAACCTAACTACAACTGAACTAGAACTGAACTAGAACTGAACAAGAACTGAACTAGAACTGAACTAGAATTGAACTAGAACTGAACTCGAACTGAATTAGAACTGAACTAAGACTGAACTAGAGCTAAACTAGAACTAAACTAGAACTGAGCTATAACTGAACTGGAGCTGAATTGGAACTGAACTAGAACTAAGTTTTCGATTAAAATTTTCTTTGTATAGAAATTTGTTAATAAAATGAATTTGTCAATTAAATGTATCCCTAAATCTTCCTCTTCTGGAAATGTCTTTTTCGAATATTAATTTAAAATACATGATTTCTATGTACAATATATTGTCATAACTTTTGTGTAGCAATAGCTCTTGTTATCCTGCTGTCTGCATTTGTACAAAAGAACAATTTATAATGAAAAGATAGGAAAATTCATTCAAGCAGATAATGGAATCATTCATGTTCATCAAAGTCACTTGTAACACTAACAAGAGCCACAATTTTAGTCAAAGGCTCATACTCCTTAAATGATGACAGATATGCTGACTGTGGAACAATCAGGAACAATAACCTTACAGTGATGGTATGAAGCACACAGTCTGTGTTTCATAATCCTCTTCTCTGTGAGTGAGAGCATGTTGTACATGTTTTGTCTTTTCAGTCTTAATGTATGAATCCTTGTATCCTGTTGCATTTGTATGTCGTCGTGTGTGTGAGTTTTGTTAATGGTACAAATTTTTTGTTTCCTTCCGCTGCTTTATTGCAGTTTGTAGTGATTGTACATTAATGTACAAAAGCATTAAATAACGAAAAACAAATGAAATGTATTTGAAATGACGAAGAAAATAAGTGAATAAATGAATAAATAATTTCAAGTGCTAAAAATCTTTTCGTAGTCCCTTTAAATATAAAATGATGATTTTAAATGCGGCACTTAACTTTTTAAGGACGTTATTTTCATTAAAATTTTAATGAAATAAATTCTATTTAGTCTCCAAGAAGGGTGTTTCTTTTTTAGAATTAGTTGTTATTATCTTAATAAATTAAAGGGATATTATTAATAACTGCAATTTGAAGAAAATTAAAAAACAAGGAAATATTATAAACAAATTGGAATTAATTTGCAAGTACCTCTACATATGTATTAAGAATGTAGAAGTTAATATCGGAGATCTTACATTTAACATTTTCTATCCATCCGTCCGTGTTTGGACTCTTTGAAATCGGTAGAAAACTTCTCACAACTCCTTAGAAATTGAAACAGCGTTAGAATAACTCTGACAGTTTAAATAACTACATTATACTCTCTAGATGACTTAGGGACAGTAAATTTATGGTTTACTTACTCTCCGCATTATTAGAGGACATTATTAGAGGAAATTGACTACTGTCTTTGCTTTGCCTTAGAAAATTCTATACCTCTATAACTGTATAACTTCTGTAATTCTATAACTGAACTAGAACTGAATTAGAACTGAACTAGAATTGAATTAGAACTGAACTAGAACTGAAATAGAACTGAACTAGAACTGAACTGAAGTAGAACTGAACCAGAACTGATCTAGAACTGAATTAGAACTGAACTAGAACTGAACTAGAACTGAACTAGAATTGAACTAGAACTTAACTAGAATTGAACTAGAACTGAACTAAAACTGAACTAGAACTGAACTAGAACTGAACTAGAACTGAACTAGAACTGAACTAGAACTGAACTAGAACTGAACTAGAACCGAACTACAACTGAACTAGAACTGAACTAGAACTGAACTAGAACTGAACTAGAACTGAACTAGAACTGAACTAGAACTGAACTAGAACTGAACTAGAACTGAACTAGAACTGAACAAGAACTGAACTAGAACTGAACTAGAACTAGAACTGAACAAGAACTGAACTAGAACTGAACTAGAACTGAACTAGAACTGAACTAGAACTGAACTAGAACTGAACTAGAACTGAACTAGAACTGAACCAGAACTGAACTAGAACTGAACTAGAACTGAACTAGAACTGAACTAGAACTGAACTAGAACTGAACTAGAACTGAACTAGAACTGAACTAGAACTGAACTAGAACTGAACTAGAACTGAACTACAACTGAACTAGAACTGAACTAGAACTGAACTACAACTGAATTAGAACTGAACTAGAACTGAACTAGAACTGAACTAGAACTGATCTAGAACTGATCTAGAACTGAACTAGAACTGAACTGGAACTGAACTAGAACTGAACTAGAACTGAACTAGAACTGAAGTAGAACTGAACTTGAACTGAACTAGAACTGAACTAGAACTGAACTAGAACTGAACTAGAACTGAACTAGAACTGACTAGAACTGAACTAGAACTGAACTAGAACTGAACTAGAACTGAACTAGAACTGAACTAGAACTGAACTAGAACTGAACTAGAACTGAACTAGAACTGAACTAGAACTGAACTAGAACTGAACTAGAACTGAACTAGAACTGAACTAGAACTGAACTAGAACTGAACTAGAACTGAACTACAACTGAATTAGAACTGAACTAGAACTGAACTAGAACTGAACTAGAACTGATCTAGAACTGATCTAGAACTGAACTAGAACTGAACTGGAACTGAACTAGAACTGAACTAGAACTGAAGTAGAACTGAACTTGAACTGAACTAGAACTGAACTAGAACTGAACTATAACTGAACTAGAACTGAACTAGAACTGAACTAGAACTGAACTAGAACTGAACTAGAACTGAACTAGAACTGAACTAGAACTGAACTAGAACTGAACTAGAACTGAACTAGAACTAGAACTGAACTAGAACTGAACTAGAACTGAACTAGAACTGAACTAGAACTGAACTAGAACTGAACTAGAACTGAACTAGAACTGAACTAGAACTGAACTGGAACTGAACTAGAACTGAACTAGAACTGAACTAGAGCTGAACTAGAACTGAACTAGAATTGAACTAGAACTCTACTAGAACTCAACTAGAACTGAACTAGAATTGTATTAGAAATTAAGTAGAACTGAAGCAGAAAGGACCATAGATCATCCAATAAACTTGTCTAGATACTGTCTATCGACCAATATATAAACTATTTATGGTTGATTAATTTTCCCTGTCATAGTTATTACCCAAGGACATCATTTACCTGTCTGAATTATAGTTGAAAGTTGGTAAAAATTTACGATTTGCTATTTGGCTAAATTGTATTTTAAAAAGTAATAAATAATGAGCTCATTTGTATTTTTATTTAATTTTTTATTTCATTTTAATTATTTTCATATAGGGTTTTGTTTTTTTTTTTTTTGCTACATTTTATTTTCTTTTTAATTGTAATTAATTTTCTTTTATTTTTAAACATTTTTATTTTATTTTATTTTATTTTATTTTATTTTTTTTTTTTGTGTTAAGACAACTTTTTTTAAGATCATCAGCTGATTTTCAATTCATGTTTATTTTGTTTTGTTTTTTATTATAATATTATTAATATAAATTACAAAAAATTATTATAAATATTTACAAAAAATTATTTTTTTTATTAACTCAAAAGAAATGCTTGTTTAAAAACAATGAGGAATGTTTTCTTTTTTTTAATTTAATTTTTTTATATATATTTTTTTATTATTATTTAAATGTTTTTATTATTGTATTTATATTAAAGTAAATTGTTTTATGTCTTACATAAAAATTATATTTAAAACTTATTTTATAATTTATATTATTATTATTTTTTTAGAGCTAATTAATGCAAATTTTATTTAAAAATAATAATATTTAATAATAATAATAAAAAAAAACATCTGATTATCAAATTTTATTTTAAATTTTTATATTAAATAGTAAAAAAAAACTTTTTTTTATACAAGGTGCACTTTTTTTACACACACACATTTTTCTTTTTTATTAATTCATACAATTTGTTTAGGCATTTTCCTAAAAAAAAAACAAACAAAAAATAATTATTTTAAAATTACACTTTTTTTAAATTACTTTAGTTTAACTTTTGTGTTTGTGTTGTTTTTTTGTAATTTTTTAATTAAAATTTAATTAATATATATGCATAGAATTATCTATAGGATCGGTTTGGTAAAAGGTTGTTGTGGTTAGAGTAGAAGGAGGTGTTTGTTAAACCGCTGGCCATACCCTGCAAAGAGAGAGAGAGAGGAAAAGAGAATATTTTATTAATAAAAGTCTATTTTATATTTAAAAATATATATAAAGAAAACTTAAAAGCTTTTATTAAAAAGTAGAAATTAAACTTTAAAGTTCAAAAAAGCTTAAAGTTTTATATATAGCCAAAAGTTTTTCAAAAGCTTTTGTTGTTATATGATTCAAAAGTTTAGCACTAATCAAAAGCTTAAAAGCATTCTATAGAAAACCCGAACATTTAAAAACTTTTAATAGTTAAAAGTTATAGTACACCGATAGCTTTAGAATAAAAGCTTTTGAAGAGCGCTAGCTTAAATAATGCTACCTTAAAGTTTATGCATTTCCACTATGAAACTAAAAAAGCTTTTGCTTAAAAAACAATTTGATCTAAACGCAAAAGCTCATAACCATTCAAAAGCTCATCATTGCTTTAAAGCTCATAATAGGATAAAAGCTCATTGTCGCTTAGTTAATCACAACCGTTTTAAAGGTCATAATTGCTTAACAGCTCATAATTGCTTAAATGCTCATAATTGCTTAAAAGCTCATAATTCCTTAAAAGTTCACAATTGCTTAAAAGCTCATAATTGCTTAAAAGCTCATAACTGCTTAAAACCTCATAATTGCTTAAAAGCTCATAATTGCTTAAAAGCTCATAATTGCTCAAAAGCTCATAAATGCTTAAAAGCTCATAATTGCTTAAAAGCTCACAATCGCTTAAAAGCTCATAACCTTTGAAAAGTTTAAAGCTCATACATAAAAGCTCAATAGTTTGAACATTAAGTAAGCCCGTGGTTTTATCACATAAACTTTTAAAGATTGCAAATTTTAAGTAAAGCTTTTAAAAGCTTATATATCTAGTACTACGAAACTACAAAAGCTTTAGCTTTCAAAAGTTTTCTAACAATAAAGCTTTCGCTTTAAAAGAAATCGCGGGCATTATAATTTTGAAATAAAATGAAAATTAACAAACGCTTTCCAAATTTTTAAGCTTTTTATAAAACTTTTTTTCATATAAATATACATTAAAGCAATTAAACATAAATAGTTTACCTACGTTAATAACGATGGATTTGTTTCTGGCTGATACCAGTATTGAGGTACATAACCGCCCATTTGTGGTGGTGGATTATGATGATGTGTTTGCGGATGTGACGCTGCTGGATGAGGTGGTTGTGGTGTCATTTGCGGTGGTTTATGATCAATCCAATGTGGTTTTTGATCCCATGGCGCTTGCGTTGGCGGACTTAATCCCGTTGGTGGAAATTCTAGAAAGAGAAAAGAAGAAATAATAAGATTTATGAGTAAAATTATAAAAAACAATAATTGCTGAATAGCCGCTGAATAAGATTTCTTGCAGCTGAATAGGGAAAATATACAATTAAATTCAATAGTAATAATTTTTAGTTGCTGAATAGCTCAAAAGTTTAGCTGAATTACTTAAAAATCTTATAAATATATAGAGTTTTCATTAAAAGATTAATAATTTCTTAGCTAAATAGAATTTCTTACAGCTGAATATGAAAAACTAGCAGCTGAATTCAGAATAAATGTTAAATAAGTTTTTTAAACATAAAAATGTTTAATAAAATCCATATTTTCATGCAAATAAAGTTGCTGAATACGATTTTTTGTAGCTGAATTGCTTTAATTATAAGCTGAATACAAAAAATGTGCAGCTGAATTCAATAGAAATGTCATATAAGTCTACTAATCATACAAATGATAGCTGAATAGGGTTTTTTGCAGCTGAATATGAAAAATGTTCAGCTGAATTTAATATAAATGTCAAATAAGTTTTCTAATTAAGAAAATTTGTTAATAAAAACCCTTGTTTAATGCAAACAAAGTTGCTGAATAGGATATTTTGTAGCTGAATGACAAAAAAAATTTAGCTGAATTCTCAAAAAAGTATTAAAGGAAACTAAAGACACTAGCTGAATATAAAAATATTGATAGAATTTTAGATTTTCATAGCTGAATAGGATTTCTGGTAGCTGAATATGAAAAATGTTAAGCTTAATTGTTTAAAATTTATAAAATAATTTAGCTGAATAGCTAAAAAGTGTAGCTGAGTACGTTTAATTGTAATTAATGTTTCCAATTAGAGAATTTTTTAGCTGAATTGCTTAAAACTGTTGCAGAATTTAAAAAATTTACTAGTAAATGTATGAATTTATAAAAATACTTTAATTTAAAGCAGTTTTGATATACATAATTTCTGTTAGCTGAATATGTTTTAAGGTAGCTGAATTGCTAAAGAAAGTAGCTTAATACGTTGTATACTTAAATATTTGGATTTTTGACAGAATTTATCTTAGCTGAATTAGATTTTTCGCAGCTGAATTGCTAAAAAGTTTAGCTGAATACGTTTAATTGTAATAAAAAGCTTAAAATAGAGACATTTTTTAGCTGAATTGTCAAAAACTGTAGCTGAATTGAAAAAATTGTCTAGTAAATTTGTGAATTTATAAAAATACTTTGATTTAAAGCAGTTTTGACACAATTTCTCTTAGCTGAATATGTTTTAAAGTAGCTGAATTGCTAAAAACTGTAGCTGAATACGTTGAACTAAAATAAATAGCTTAAAATAGATAATTTTTTTGCTGAATTTGCCAAAACCTTAGCTGAATTGCTAAAATGTGAAGCTGAATACATTGAAACGTAATAAATACCTAAAAATAGAGAATTTTTTAGCTGAATTGCCCAAAACTTTAGATTTATAAAAATTCTTTAATTTTGTGCATTTTTGTGAGAATTTCTCTTAGCTGAATATGATTTAAAGCAGCTGAAATGCAAAAAAGTGTAGCTGAATACGTTAAACTATAATAGATATTTAAAAATACAGAATTTTTTAGCTGAATTTAAAGATTTTAACACAATCTCTCTTAGCTGAATATGTTTAAAGACAGCTGAATTGTCAGAAATTGTTGTATTTATACTGGGACTATAAAAATACTAAAGTTTAGCAACACTTTTAATAGGTTAACTTTAGCTGAATAACAGAATTATAAAGTTGATTAAGAAATTTAATTGATTTGAACAATTTCCCAAAGAAATTTATTAACTGAATTGTTTTTATCAATCACTTAATGATTAATAGTTTAATTGATTATTAGTTGAAAACTTACCGGGTGATAATTCAGATACAGGCGTACTTGAAGGCGTCGGACTATGTCCGGGAGGTAGATAATGTGATGGTGAGCCACTATTTGAACCGCCACCGTTATTACCGCCTAAAAATAGACAATTTATATTAAATAATTAAATAATTATAATGAAATTGTTTTTTTTAATTAATGTTATTTTTAAATCTAAAAGTTAAGGGGGTGGGGGGGAGAGAATCTTCAAACTTACCACTATGCATATTTTGATTGGGACTATGTTGACCAGGATTTGGACCACCACTGCCCAAGGGCATGCCACTACCTTGACCAGGACCCTGGGCGGCTTTCATCATTTTTTTGTACTTTGAGCGACGATTTTGAAACCAGATTTTAACCTGCAATGATAACAAAAACAAAAACACACACTTGTCAGTTACAATTATTATAAACAAAAACAGTAAATATTAAATAATATTTTGCATTAACATAACATGACTTTTCGAAATTAATTTTAACACTTTTATAAGACACAAATAGAGTTATTAATAAGTCACATGGCAAAGAGTGTTGAGGGGGGATTTGGGGCTATTTGTGTGGAAATTAATGGGTCATTTTTCATTTGTGCACAAGAGGTGTGCAAAAACCAAAGCAAAAAATAACGTTTACATAGATTTTAATTGGTTAATATTAATATTATTAAATAGTTTATAATAAACTTAAAAATACTACTAATATACTAAAGAGATAAATGAGTTTGTGTGAAAAAAAAAAAATGTTAAAGAGTGGTTTTGGTCTTATAATTATATAAACTTGTCATGATATTTATTTGATTCCATAACGCTATTTATTTGGCTAATAATGATGATCATGATGTCTAACTACAAATGTTGTGGTTTTCAGTGATCGGTGGTGGCATTTTCATAACTTATAGTTAATTAAAGTTAATTTAATAAGTTTTTAATAGGTTTTAATAAACACTTAGGCATTCTATTAAAAGCTTTATGTTAAAGCTTTTTTTTGCAATTAATTCATTCATGAATTTTTAGTAATTTGAAAACTTCGTTTTAAACTAATTTCGTGTTATGAACAAATTTGTTAAGTAGAAAATTTATTAACAATCTTCTTTTTTATATACAAAATTTATTATGTTTAATGTTAATTTTTACTTAATAAATTTATAAAAAACACGACAGCTGTAATATTATTATTTATCTATAACAACCACTTCATTTAAACTATAGCCGAATTACTTAAAAGTTAACTGAATGATTGTAAATCATTTAAAAAATTTAAATATGAAATACATAAGTCTATAACTCCTCAGCTGAATTAGGTTTGTTGCAGCTGAATTGCTTAAAAGTAAAGCTTTATAATTAGAAAACTTTTCTAGGCTTTCAAATATATAAAATGTTTATGAAATATTTCAATATTTCCTTAGCTGAATTAGGTTTGTTGCAGCTGAATTGCTTTAAACTCAAGCTTAATTGTTTAAGAACATTTCTAAAATTTAAAATATGTTAAATATTTATGAAATATTTCCATATTTCCTTAGCTGAATAAGGTTTGTTGCAGCTGAATTGCTTAAAACTCAAGCTGAATTGTTTAAAAACATTTCTAGGCTTTCAAATATATACAATTTTTATTAAATATTTCAATATTTCCTTAGCTGAATTAGGTTTGTTGTAGCTGAATTGCTTAAAACTCAAGCTGAATTGTTTAAAAACATTTCTAGGCTTTCAAATATATAAAATTTTTATTAAATATTTCAAGATTTCCTTAGCTGAATTAGGTTTCTTGCAGATGAATTGCTTAAAACTCAAGCTGAATTGTTAGAAAACACTTCTATATTAAATTTTTATCAAATAGTTCAATAATTCTTTAGCTGAATTAGGTTTAGTGTAGCTGAATTGTCTAAAAGTAAAGTTGAATCATTAGAAAACACTTCTATATCAATATTTCTTCAGCTGAATTGCTAGAAAATGCCGCTGAATAAGATTTCTTGCTAAAAAATAAAGCTGAATTGTTAGAGAATACTTCTATATTAGATTTTTATTAAATAGTTCAATAATTCTTTAGCTGAATTAGGTTTATTGTGGCTGAATTGTTTAAAAGTAAAGCCGAATCATTAGAAAACACTTCTATAACAATATTTCTTCAGCTGAATTGCTAAAAAATGGCGCTGAATAAGATTTCTTGCAAATGAATAGCATAAATTTGCTGAATTTTAGAAAACATAAGAAGGCTTATAAAAATAGTATTTTTTCAAAAATAATTTAATATTTTCTTAGCTGAATAGAATTTCTTGTAGCTGAATAGCACAAATTTGCAGCTGAATTTATTACAAACATTAAATAAGTTTTAAAGGAAAACAAATTTGTCTATAGAATACCTTTCTGATGCAAATAAAGTTGCTGAATAGGTTTTTTGTAGCTGAATAGCTAAAAATTGTAGCTGAATTATTAGAAAAAGTTAGCAGGATTATAAAAATATAAAATTTTCATAAATAATGTAATATTTTCTTAGCTGAATAGGAATTTTAAAAGCTGAATAGCTTAAAATTGTAGCTGAACTGTTAGATTTCTTAAGCAGGCTTATGGAAACTCAAAATTTTGCTGTATAGCTTAATATTATCTTAGCTGAATAAACTTTTTGGCAGCTGAATTGTTAAAATTTTTAGCTGAATAGCATTTCTAGTAGCTGAATAAGAAAATTGTTCAGCTGAATTGATTAAAAACATTTATAAACAAATAAATTTGTTAATAAAACTTCTTATTTGTTGTAAATAAAGTTGCTGAATAGGTTTTTTTTAAGCTGAATAGCTCAAAATTTTAGCTGAATAGTTCGAAAACATTAGAATACTTATGAGATTATTAAATTTTCATAAATAATTTAGCGTTTTCTTAGCTGAATAATGGTTTTTGCAGCTGAATTGTTAAAATTATTAGCTGAATAGCATTTCTAGTAGCTGAATAAGAAAATTGTTCAGCTGAATTGATTAAAAACTTCGAAAAAGTTTTGTAATCAAACAAATTTGTTAATTAAATACCTTATTTGTTGTAAACAAGTAGCTGAATAGGATTTTTTCCAGCTGAGGCTCACTTTTCAATAAAGCAGGGACAAGTTTGAGACTCATAACCTCCAGAATAGCGAAATGTAGCATTGATCTTTCAATTTGTTTTCATTTAAAGATATTATTCTTTCTAATGAAACTGAAATTAAAACTGGATATTTTACTCATCAAGTTTGCTTTATTTGCATTTAGCTGAATTTACTTTTTATTTCATTATTATTGTAATTATGATTAGAGTTGTTGTTTGTTGTTGTTGTTAAGACAATAACTGACATTTGAAAATAAAAGCCGCTCTTGTTTTATATCTATCATAATAATGATAAAAAATAAATAATAATTTATGCTATTTGCTACTTAAAGCAAAAGTTTGTTATATGCAAAGTATATCTTGTACAAACTTCTTGTTGTGTTAAAGACTTTTTTTTCATATCTAGATTGTTTTGAAAGTTTTTACAGCGAAAGTGGTTTTTTGTTTGAAAAAAAGTAGAAAAAAAAACTAAAAGTGTAGAAAAAAATTATTTATAAAAAAAACAATAAAATAACTTTAAACAACAAATGACTGAACAACTTCATCACAAAATATACACAGTAGCGTTTTTTTCTATTATAAATTATATTTTATAACTGATTTTAATGGCTTCCTGTCATAATAAGAAAAAGTTGTTAATATAAGATTTGTTAGATGATATAAATTTATTTATGAGCTTTGTATTTCAAAAAAGAAACATAACTAGTGGCTGGCTAAAAACAGACTTTATATAACTTTTAATGGGGATTCCCTAGAACATTTCACTTTTTTTTTTTGGTTTATTAATCTGGGAATTGTTTCAAAAATCTATTCTTTCAATAAATTGAATTGAATTATAATTTATTATTTTCAAATTCCCATAAAACAAAACTTTATTAGCATATAAACAAATATTCCCACGTTTTAAACATTAATTTTAGTTTGCAAACTTAACTTAATAACTACACTAATGTGTCATAAACATTTAACACTAGTGTGTTTTTAACTTTTATATATAGATTTTTTTTAAACTTTTTTCAGTTTTCTTATTAAACATAAACACTTGTCATATAAATTAAAACTAAAATTTAGTATTTTATAGGCTTAACTATTACACTATTACTATAACAAATTGCTTATTCAAGCAAAACTAACTTAAAATAATATTGGCTAATATGTTTAGCAAAGAAAAAAAAGTTGTTAACACACAAATTTTTAAACAACTTTGTAGTTGGCCATTTACTTATATGGCCCAAAAATAAACAGTAAACTGCATGTATAGACTTTATAAAGCAATCAAGTGCAATGTTTTTATTAATTAATTATGATTTCTAACACCAAAACTAATTAATATAGCTATTCAGCTAGCTGAATACAAATAAAAATATATTAAAAACGTAAATAATTAAAGTTTTAACAAATTTTCAATGAAATAATATTATTCAGCTAGCTGAATAGAAGAAAAACTTAGAAAATCAAAAAGAAATTTTTTATAATTTTTTAAAGAAATTTTGTAATTCAGCTAGCTGAATAAGTGAAAAAAATCTAAATTTTGCTTAATTAAGCAATTTTTTAGGAGTTTTTGTTTAATTCAGCTAGCTGAATTAGATTTTTATTACACACATAAACTAAAAATTTTCTTTTTTAGTATATAAGAAAAGTTTTTGCTTTATTCAGCTAGCTGAATTTGATATTTATTAAACAAATTGTTTAAAAAATTATGTATTGTTAAACTATAAGTAATTTTTGTTTAATTCAGCAAGCTGAATTAGATTTTTTATTATACAAATAACCTTAAAAGTTTAATTTTATGTAATTACGAATGATTAGCTGAATTACATAAAAATCTAATTCAGCTAGCTGAATTACATAAAATTAGACTTTTAAGCAACAAAATAGCTAAAAAATTATATTTTGTGAAATTAAAAAAGAAATTTGTCCAATTTAGCTAGCTGAATTTGGTTATTAATAAAGAATTTGTCAAAAATTTACATTTTCTACAATCTTGACCGGATTTTATGGAATTCAGCTAGCTGAATTAGATTTTTATTTAAGGAATAACCTTAAAAGTTCAATATTATGAAATTATGAATGAATTTTATGTAATTCAGCTAGCTGAATTAGACTTTTATGAAACAAATTGGTTAAAAAAAATAAATTTTATGAAATTATAAAAGAAATTTGTTGAATTCAGCTAGCTGAATTTGTTTATTAATAAAGAATTTTTCAAAAATTTACATTGTCTACAATCTTGACTCGATTTTGTGGAACTAAGCTTGCTGAATTTGATTTTTATTAAAGAAATCACCTTAAAAGTT